GAGCCCATTTTCATACATTTATTAAAACCATCAGTGGGTTTGGTTTTGTTTCTTTTTCAATAAGCCTGTATAAAACCCAGCAGAATATTGCAATTAAACCGAATTTCCATAATCTAAACCCCAATTTTATTTTGGCTTTGGGTTACTTGTCAGGAAGAATAACTCCCAGGCTGCTGAAGCCTGGACTAGATTTTAAGGCTCCGAGTTACGCAAAACTTGCCCCAGTTGCTGCAGCATGTCAGTGTTTGCCCACTATTGATGGATGGTCACAGCCATCACTGGAGTTAATTCTGAGAGCACAGGATAGATCTGACAGGTACTGCTATGACAACCAGGGAGCAGAACAGCCCACATTTCCCTGGAAGCTCCAAAAATAAACACTCCGGAACAGTAAAAAGGTACATGTTTATCTGGCGTTCTCTCCCTCATCCTGCATCCTCCTCTTTGCAAGATGTTTTTTGGTTTTCACACAGAAAATTCATGAAGTTTCTGGCTGGGGTAGAGTTAATTTTCTTCCCGGTAGCTGGTGTGGAGCTGTGGTTTGGATTTGTGCAGGGAACAGGGTGGACAACACAGGGATGTTTCTGTTATGGCTGAGCAGGGCTTGCACAGAGACAAGGCCTTTCCTTCTCCTCAGCCCACCAGGGAGAGGCTGGGGGTGCACAAGGGGTTGGGAAGGGACACAGCAGGACAGCTGATCCCAACTGATCATGTGGCATCATACTCAGCACATGGAATTGGGTGGGATGTTGGAGGGGGTGGCTGCTCAAGGCCTGGCTGGGAATCAGTCAGTTGGTGATGAGCAACTGTTTTCATTTGCTGTTCTCTTTGCTATTTTCATTTAAATTACATTCGTTGTTACTGTGATTATTATTATACATTATTGCATTTTATTTCAACTAATAAATGGAGGGAGGAGAGCGAATGGCTTCCCACTGCCAGAGGGCAGGGATAGATGGGATACTGGGAAGGAATTGTTGGCTGTGGGGGTGGTGAGGCCCTGGCACAGGTTGCCCAGAGAAGCTGTGGCTGCCCCTGGATCCCTGGAAGTGTCTAAGGCCAGGTTGGATGGGGCTTGAAGCAACCTGGGCTAGTGGAAGGTGTCCCTGCCCATGGCAGGGGGTGGAACTGGATGAGCTTTAAGGTCCCTTCCAACCCAAACCATTCTGGGATTCTGTGCTCTTATCTCAAACCTTCTCACTTTTAACCTTTCAATTCTCTTCCCCTTCTCCTGCTGGGGCTAAGGAGTGACTGGTTATTGGTATTTTAGTTGCCATCTGGGACTAAACCACAGCAACCAAGTTTCCAGGAGGAAACAAACCTGCAAACCAGCCCCCTGCAAAGCCAATATTGCACTGGTGGGAAGCAGGGAATGCCCACTACATTCCCTCCCCAGGGTCAGATATATTTCCTCTGGAAGAAAAATTAGTAGGCACAAGAAACCTCATTTTCACTGAGAAGCATCTCATTCCTTTTTCTCCAACTTCAAAAGGCAAAACAAACAGGTATTTTATGTAAATGTGGACATTAGAAACAAAAAATAGAACAGAAAACATCAAATTCCTTTTTCATAGGCAACTCAGCTTCCAGTGGAACAGCTGCAGATGAAAGTAGTAGCTACAAATTAATATATCATAAGGTCTACCAAAGGAACTGATTGTCTCAAATGCCAAAAGTAAGACCAAAGACTAAATTATTTTCATTTACGAAAGCGTAGAGAGGAATTGCTTTCATGTTGTGAGTTATGTGTTTAGGTGGAACCTAAGTTGGGCCTGTCAGCTTCTGACAAAAGTTAAAAACAATTCCTAAAACATTTCAGAAACATGATTTAGAAGGGGGAAAGGTAAACAATACAAAGTCTCTGCCTTTTGCTTTAACTCCTTTTACATTTAAAACTCCTCGGGTGTGTTCTCCTGCAGGAAGTGCCTGGAATGAAGAATCTGCCTCCAGACTGGTGACACCAAAACCTTGGACTCTTAATCAATGAATTGCTTTGCTAAAGTGATAAATGTTGGTTAAATTAAATTAGAGAATAATCAGTAAATATTTTACCAAAAAAGGAACAATTACCTCATTGGATATGAGGATTTTTTTGTGTTCATTCCAGCATGAAATATATAATATACGTACTTATATATATATTTATCCCACTAGTGAAGTTCAAAAAATTGTAATACTAAATTTTTAACTAAACCTATATTTGCAAATATTCTCTGTATTCCAGTTGTTCTCACACATTTCTCCATTTCCCCTCTTCCCCCATAGCTACAACTTCATCTCAGCCAGAATATTTGAATCCACTGCTTAATCCACTGTATTTCAATCTGGAAGGAAACCACTGCACGGAGAGGAGCTGCCTGAGCTCTCTCTGCCACGAAGGTGATGAGATACCTCCTAAGAGCCTGATCTCTCTAAGAGGGGGCTCTCTTCCAGCTATTTTTATTTTTTTCCTGTGGTTTCACACTAATAGATAAATTCCATACAGGGACATCAATGAAATTGTGGATATAGTTAAAATTTAGCTCACTTTCTTTGGCTCATGGCACAGAAATACTTGACCTGCAGGACATGATTCCAAGAACGACCCAAAACTGCACATTCTAAGTTATTTCTATTGAGAAGATGTTGTGGCTTTAAAAGGCAGAATTTGTTCTTAAATTTTGTCTCCTTTTCTTCAATAAAAGTTTATAGGGGTGAAAATAAACAGAGCAGATGGACAAAGAGAGGTATTTTACAGTGCAGCTTTCTGGTTTTGGAAACCACATTAACTTCAACAGGAAAAATGAAAAGCACGGAAATCAATTCAGGAGCATTTCCAACCGAGCTGGTGCAATGAAAATGAACGAGGGAATTAGGGATGAACAACCCCCTTCAGCACTTCTGCAGATATTCATCAGCAACACAGAGACTTGAGAAAGTTTTTAACTTTAAATACTACTTAGATATTCTACGGGCACTGAGGTTAGTCAGGAAGAATCTAAGATCTTAACAACACATCCCATCTCTGCTTCTTCAGGACTTGATGTTCAGTGTGGGATAAAGAGAAGCCTATTTTTAAGGATCAAAAGTCCAAGTCCCAGCCCTGACTGTGGATCTCTGCACCACACTTTGTACTGCTCCAAATTTTCAGAGCGAGGAACTGTCTGGGGAAAGGTGCCCTTTGTGCTTCAAGGAAAAACCGATGGTGAGGGAGAGGCTCTTTTTGCCCCTTTGCTCTTTCATTTGTATGACCATAATTTCACAGTTTAAAATAAAAATCAAGGTCAAACTCCCACCCAAATGAACACTGAGAGGTCATCTGGCAATAGTGTGAAGATAATGCAATCACAGAGTGGTTTGGGCTGGAAGGGACCTTAAAGCTCAACCAGCCCCACCCCCTGCCATGGGCAGGGATACCTTCCACTAGCCCAGGTTGCTCCAAGCCTTGGACACTTCCAGGGATCCAGGGGCAGCCACAGCTTCTCTGGGCAACCTGTGCCAGGGCATCACCACCCTCACAGTCAACAATTCCTTCCCAATACCCCATCTAACCCTGCCCTCCAGCACCGGGAAGCCATTCCCTCTTGTCCTGTCACTCCAGGCCCTTTTCCCAAGTCCCTTTCCAGTCTCTTGGAGCCCCTTTAGGTACTGAAAGGGGCTCTCAGGTCTCCCTGGGGCTTTCTCTGCCCCAGGTGAACCCCCCCAGCCTGGCTTGAGAGCAGAGGGGCTCCAGCCCTTGGAGCATCTCCGTGGCCTCCTCTGGACTCGCTCCAGCAGCTCCACATCCTTCCTGTACTGGGGACCCCAGAGCTGGTTAATTTAAGGAATCCTCTTTGCAATATTGTTCCTACCCCTGTAATTGCCACATGTCTGCTTATTTATGCCAGTCAAGGTATTAAGAGAGTCAAAACACAGACCTTCCCAACCCTATTTCAATCTCCCACAGAATCCCCCCGAGCCCAGAGGAGTTCTCCTGTTCCAAAGGACACAGGTAACACATGCTGTGAGGGTTTCCCAAGCACCTGCAACAAGGCTCCTGAGACAGTTGGAGAAGCAAAATCACTTTGGAAATTCCAAAAAAACAAAGAAACCCAAGGGACTTTAGATGTTCCTCATGAGCTGCTCTCCAAGGGCTCCCGATTTCAAACACCAGGTGCTTCCCAAGCTGTGGCCACACACGAGGGAGAATCCCAAACCAGTGAGACGACCCCAAAATACGGCTCAATCCCCTGCGTCGTATTTATTCAGAATGAATTTTAGGAGGCGGTTAAGGAGACCTCAGAAACCAAGATTAAAGTTATGGCGCATTTTTACAACTGTGGTTCAGGATTTTATAGAAGTAAACGCTGACAACTTTATAGCCGTGGTCGCTACCAGTGAACGCAGCCGAGATTTCTCCAGGCAACTAGTAAATATAATGTTTTTGCCTTATACTTTCATCTCAGTACACATAAAAGCATTTGACACACTTAATAAAACGTCACCAGCATAAAACACTGCACAAAGGAATGCTAAATAATGACACAGCTGCAATTATGGAGGAAAAAAAACAAGCATTAGAAACATTTGTAGCCTTTCTCTGCGTTACTGTGATGGTGGAATCTGGGTTTAAAATGTCCTTTTTTGTTAACACCACTGAAAATATTCCTGAGCATACAACTCCATACAGTAACTAGTTTTGAGGTCATGTGGAAAACATATCATTTATCCTGAGAAGACTAAATTTAATTGTTATAAGGTATGTATAGAACCTTTACTGCACCTGCTGTTGGCTCCAAAATCTGGGATCTCAGGCTGATGCCACCCTTAATTTGGGGACCCCTAAAACAGGTCACTAAAACACTGCTCAGCCACCTCCAAAGCCAGTTCTTAAATAATTCTTTGCATCAGAGAAGGAGAAAAGCCCAGCCCAGGCTGGCTGCAGCTTTGTGTTTTACTGTTTCCAAGCAACCCTGTGGTTTCGGCTCCAACACAAACCCAACCAGCCCAGAAATCCAGGGAGCCTTTCCCTCCGTACTCACTTATTCTGCATCATGTTCATTATCACCCAGTCGAAGGGATAGACATTCTTCCCGATGAGATTCTTGAACATGATGAATGTTTCCATCAGAAAATCCTAAAAGGAGAGAAAATATTTGGAGAAGGCTGTTCTGCTGGATCACAGAAATCCACGGGATGGTGGCAGTTATTAATGACCACACTCCAAAGGTGTCCTCGTGTTCTGCTCCATAAAAAAGCCATTATTCATATAAAACACATCTAAATCCTACTAAAGCATATTTATACATCATGTCCATAAATCCTACAATAATTCCAGTTAAACTTGTCAGAAGTTATAACAACTTTAATCCCACATTGTAACAGCCCATGGGATGACTCAGGACCTACCACTGGTTCACCAGTTATCCCAAAGGGAGTAACATCTGGGAAAAAATAATTTTATATATATCCATATATACATATACACACATTATATTTTTATATTTTTGATATAGAATAATTATTTTCTATACTATGAAGTCTCACAGTCCCTTTGTGGGCAGCCTGTATTGTGACACACATGTTGTGACACATGCCTGGGGTCTCTTAGAAAGCTGTTAAAAGCACACTGGGACATGGAAAGAGAAGGAAAAAAAAAAGCTAAATATTCATTAAAATCTTATCATTACGCTGAAAATACTCCCTGGAGTCAGTTGATGAGTTTTCCCTCCCTTTGTGAGGGACTTCCTCCTGAAATCAAGATTATTTATTTATTAAAATAAATACATGTTCTAGCTCAAAATGGGATCCTTAGGTGTGGTGGTGCCCATCACCCTGACATGGGGTAGAGCACAGCAATGGTTTGGCCATCCCAAAACTGGGAGAGACTCTCCCTAAAGGCAGCAACAGTAATTCCTTCTGCAAGTGACAACCTGTCCCAGAACAAAAGTTAATTTAGCAGCATAAAGCAATTTATTCCTACACAGCTATAAACAAACACTTCTTTGGACCAGAAACCTCATGTACTTTACAATGTAAATCATCTCCTACAATTTGGGAATCTGTAATTGCTATCTGACAATTGGAGCAATATCAAATGCTGGGAGAGAGATAAAGGGGAAAAAAGAACTTAATGCAGAAAGTCCTTGATCCACTTCACACAGAGATAAAAATGAACTTTTATTCCAAGGTTAGAATATTTTCCCTTTGATTCAGTTTCTCAGCAATGGTATTTATCTCGTCTATCTTTAAAATGTCAAATGCCTACAAAAAAACCCCCAAAATGTTACATTCTCTGGACTTTTAACTAAGACTGCTTTTTATGTAACCTTTTCAGTGAGAAACAAATCTGAAGTTGCTGCTCTCATCAGTCTTTCTCCATGTGTGAGAGATGGTATCTTCGTCACATTTTATCTCCGGTTTGCTGTTCTGTTAAAATGCCTTTCCTGGCTCAGAGATCCCCAGTCAGAGGGATGCAGGGAGCTGCAGAGATCCTGAGGACACAACACTGGGATCACAAATCACTGAATCATAGAATGGTTGGGTTGGAAGGGACCTTAAAGACCATCTGGTTCCCCCCCCCGTCATGGGCAGGGACACCTTCCACTAGCCCAGGTTGCTCCAAGCCCCTCCAACCTGGCCTGGGACACTTCCAGGGATCCAGGGGCGCCACAGCTTCTCTGGGCAACCTGGGCCAGGGCCTCACCACCCTCACAGGGAGGAATTTCTTCCCAATATCCAAACTAAACCTACTCTCTTTCAGTTTAAGGCCATTCCCCCTTGTCCTGTCACTCCATTCCTCCCGAACATTCTCTCTCCATCTCTTCTTTCATGAAGCAACACGAACTTCCAGGGTCCTGGGCTCTGCCACATGCACAGCACGAGGGCTGCTTTGGGATGTTCTGCATCCCAGCTCCTGCTACCCAATTAATCATAAAATCAAAGAATCATTAAGCTTGGGAAAGACCCCCAAGATCATCAGGTCCAACCTTTGACCAAACACCAATGTGCCCACTAAGCCACATCATGATGTTTTGGAACTGCTCGTGATCCAAGAGGTGTCACCACTGTATAAAGCCAAACTCAGGCCAGATGCTCTCCAGGAGCTCAGTAAAATCTGCCTTCATGTAAGAGATCCACCTGCAGATTTTACTGCTCACTTTTCATGTATTTTGGTGGAGGAATTACACTGCTGATGATTGGGGCTCGTTCCTGACCCTGGAGGTTCTGCCACGTCTGATCTGACCTATTTTGCTGATTCAGCTCTACATTTTAATCTACTGATATTTACATTTTAATAACCCCATGTTCACTCAGGTACTTTAAATAATGCTCTCTAACAACTGAGCTAATTATTGATCAAATACAAAGCTCCTCATGCTCACCTGTGGTTTATGTATTCAGAACATTGCTCTCTTTGCCATTTTATCGTTCTTATAGGAAAGCAAATGGCTTGGATGAATTAACCTCATGTTATTAGCAAAACCCAGGGCTTTTCTGGGGGGTGGGAGTGGACAGGGAAACTCCCAGGGCATGCTGGGTTGCTGTAGAATCTACTTTTTTCAGTATATCTGGAAGCAGAACAAATTCTTCTGAACATAAAAAAATTATAAAAGCCTGTATTAAAGGAGCAAGGGCTGCAACTCCTGGTCTCTCTCCAACTACAAATACAAATCATATTTAATATCCCAAGGAAGCTTAATCCAGAATAGGTAAGAACCCTTCCCAATTCCCATCCACTGAGTAAGCTCAGCCTGAGATATTCCAGGCAAAACATCAACATACTTTTTTGTCAACTAATACCACATATGTCTCAAATAAAAATAATTTTTATCAAGTAAGAAGGGGAGAGAAATCAATTAGTCCCAGAAATAACCTCACTGATCTTGGTTGACGTTTCCTCTCAGGATAACAACAGAATCACAGGTTTGGATTTCACAGAATCACAGAATTACAGCCCAGTTTGGGTTGGAAGGGACCTTAAAGTTGGAAATTCCTCTTTGAACGGACATATCTTAATAAATCTAAACACTATATTCTGCAGAGGAATAAAAAACTGGTTTTATTGCATTCTGCCTCACACTTTAGAAGGCTCTTGAGGCCAAATATGACCATTATAATAATCTAAACCTGACACCACCATCACACAGCCCATAAAGTTTCCTCCAGCAGTTCCATCTCCTGGCTGAGCAAGAGCACAGAAAGATTTAAGGGTCTCCCATGGCAAAGGAGCAACCACAGCTTCACTTTTCTTGTCATTCTTTTCAAGAAAAACCTATTAATTTCTGTTTGGCTTAATCTAATTTCAGTCCTAAATCACTGCTTTGTGATTCAACCGAATACTCTGGAATAGGAGGTGCAATTATCACCTCCATGTCCAGGGATGCTGAGACTAAATGAAAAGACTTGTGGATTTAAACTCTAATGGGTGAGTCAAATGACAGCAGCTCACAAAAAACTGCTGGATTAAAGAAATGGAAAGCCCAAGAAATGTCAAATGAAGAGGCAGGGAAAGGTGTTTTTCCCATCCAAACCATCCAGTCCAGTTCAGCAACATCCCACCACTGAGGAGAGAAGAAAACAGGAGGTCCAAGAGAGGAACATGGACTGAGAATAGTAAAGGAGGTGACAGAGCTTCAACTCTGATGGGGAAACAGAAACCAGTGACCAAGAGGTGGCTTTCACACTAACAGTGAAATCTCATCTACGAGGAAATACTTCCGAGAACAGAAATTCCTGGGGTTGGCTCTCACTGAAAAGGTTGTGTCAGCTTTTCTCTTCAACACAGAAACTGGGTTGTATCATCTTTTTGTTCTCACTGATGACTCAATCAGTTTTATTTGTGCTTTAAAAAAAGGAAAGAAAATTCAGTTTACTCACTGAAGTTTCCTTTTTTTACAGCATTACCAATGTTCTGCCATTATACCTGCACATCTTCTTTTATTATACTTAAAGCCAGTTTAAGGTAGCATTTTCTACTCTTATCATATTACTCATTTAATATTTTACCAACTTACTACATACTTTAGTTTCCATTAGCACACATTATCATTTACACAGTAATATTAAAACATTTAAAAGGTACATTTAATTAAAGATATAAACTGTTGCAGCAACTGACCAAGTTTGGATTTGAAAACCTGCTAAAACAAATGATTACAGGGGAGCACAACAGTGGAAAACAGGGAGTCAAACAGTTCACGTGCTGATGGAAAATATGATTTTAACAGTCCAGAGCAATTCCAGCTCCACAACCCCAGAAAATGCAGGATGAATATTCAGAGTCAGGACAGAAGAAAGAAGTGATTCCTCCTGAATCCCAGAGCACTGAGTGCACATAAATCAAACTCTTAAAAAGGACCCATTATAAACAGACCACTTGCCAAATTTCAAATATATAATAACTCTGTTTTTCACAAGGAAGATCCGACCTACAGAAGCACCTTGCAGGCAATTTAGATCAAAAAAGAGAGATTTTAAACCAAACACTTTTGTTGCCATTAGAAAAATCCCAGATTTCCTAAGCAGCATTTTTCTCTCTGCATTTTTTTGTTGTATGTTGTCCTGATTTTGGCTGGGATAGAGTTAATTTTCTTCCTAGTAGCTGCTACAGAGCTGTGTTTGGGATTTAGGATCAAAGTAATGTTGCTAACACACTGATATTTGGGATTCTGCTGAGCTGGGCTTACCCTGAGTCAAGGACTTTTCAGTGTCCCAGGCTCTGCCAGGGAGGAGCTCCACGAGAAGCTGGGGAGGAGAATGGCCAGGACAGGTGACCTGAACTGGCCAGAGGGATATTCCACACCTCAGAACATCATGCCTGGTCTATCAACTGGGTTTTTTCCCAACCAGACTGGGAGAACTGGCTGGGAGCTGCCAATCACTGCTGGGGGACGGGCTTGGCATTGGTCAGTGGGTGCTGAGCCATTTTATTGGACAGCACGGGTCTGTCTGGGGTTTTATTCCTCTCCTTCTGTTTGTTATCTCTCCTTTAGTTGCTATTTTTATCATCATCATCATAATTATCATCATTATTACATTACTAATAATTTTATTTTTATTTTATTTTCCTTTATTTCAATTATGAAACCATTCTTATCTCAACCCACAGGTTTTACCTCTCCCTGACCCCCCTCCCCACCCCACCAGTGCAGGGCACGGTGAGTGACTGTGTGGCACTTATTTGCTGCCTGGGTTAAACGTGTTTTCAGAGCAAACTGCTTTCACCTTTCCTCATGTAAAACCCTGCAATCAGACTTCCTTTTCCAGAGCCAAATGCTTTAAAAATAGAGAAATATTTGGCTTGATAAACCTTAACACTCATGTTTTTTCTGCCTGCTAAAAAGCAGTATTTTCACTCCGCTGGCTGCATTTCGCTTGGGAACGTTTTATTATTAGTGGAAAACCAAATGACTATCCATGTAAACGCTCCAAGATCCCACAGCAGGGTAACTGGGAAGACCTTTCCATGTAGTGATGCCCATCTGCAGCTCTTTGCAGCAGGACTTTGCCTTCACCCTCTGGAATTATCAGCTCTGTGACTCAGTGATGCCAGATCAGGTGCAAACAGAGGCTTTAGCAACTTATCTGAAAACTGGCACGGGGCAAAGAGCTCAAATCTGGCAGAATATGGGTAGAAATAAGAAAAATAACAATTAAAGACAAAGTGGAAAGTCCAAACATAAAGAATTTACAAAAAGGAAAGACCCTGGGTTTGTTCTGTTGGGTCTGGAAGGAAGAGAACCTGAATAAAGATTAAAATCCAGGTGAGACTGCCTGGAGCATTCCCAGGATTGCAGTGGGGAATGGAACAGAGCTGAGCAGCTTTGGGTCACCACTAATTGATGGAGCTCAGCCAAGAGTTTGGTGTCCCCTCTGCAGCCATATGGCAAAGACAGTTTAGGTTATTACAGAGTTATCTCCTCAGCTATAAGCTCCTTCTATTATGCTTTAATTAAGTTGGGTTGTTGCCTTAGTCAGGCCACTGAACGACTCTGAGAAGACAAATTTCAATTATTATTGCTTATTTAACAACTAAGGGCACCTCTAAGGTTAAAATGGTTTGTATAAAAGGGAAAGTGAGCAGATCTCTGTGTAAAAGCTACTCAAAGAAAGGAAAGCAGGACATCTGGAAGATTCAACACTGAAAGTTCCTTTCCTAAGAAAGTTTTATTTAATATTCTTCTCCTCTTAAACAAAAGTCTCATCACTTCTGTTTTTTCACGCTTTAATTGCTTCAAATCCAGTGTCTCATGCTTTGAACAGCTCCAGAGCTTTAATAAAGATTTTTATATTAATTCTATAATGCCAAACACATTTTGTTGACATTTCACAAGGGTACTTAATGACCAATAATAGGAAAAAAAACAAACAGAAGGTGAACTATTTTATGAAGAGATAAAACAAGTTAAACTTACCACAACATCCGACCTCATCTTCCCAAAAGTCTTGATTAAATGAGCATAGTGATAGTCCTCCATCTGCCTTAGAATGGCTGTCATGCAGGCCACAAAACTCCCCTGGAAAAAATAAAAGTAAAGAAGGCAACTGTTTAAGAAAAGGCAACATATTTCTTGCTATCAAAACATAATATTGCTTGAGAGCCCCACACAATGCAGTAGATGTAATTCCATCATTAAAATTCATCTGTGAATATGCAAAATTCTGTTAAGAAAACAAAGAAACATCTCAAAAAGTTTCCATTTCCAATTTCATGGGTTTAGCACTGAAGCTTTTGCAACATGTTCTTCATCTAAAAATTGCTCTGACATTAAAGGCTTTGCAAGGTAATAAACACCACTCCTAAAAATATCACACAATATCAGGATTTGCATTTGGAAAGTCAATACTCTGCTCAAGGAAGAAATCTCTTAAAAAATCATTACACTGAGCACCACAGCTAAACCCCAAGTTTTAATTTCACTGAGTGGTATTTTCAGATATTGTGATGCTTAAAAAAACTCCACCAAAATCCAATAAGTTTCATAAAAGTAGAAGAGCTGTACCAACCAGACCTCTCTCAAACCATGGAAGAAGCAAAAAGTGCCAAAAAGAAAGTTAAATCTTTCCTTGTGGTGTGTCAAAGTGTGGTAGTAACAAATCCAACCCATTCCTCTGGCTACTAGATGTAGTAAGATCCCATAAATAGGTTCTTCTTGTCCATCAACTCTCTCTAAATATCTGCTAAAAGCCTGTTAATAATTTCCAGGTCTTTTCTGGTCTTTGATGAAAAAAAACCCAATAAAAATTTGAAAACCCCAAAGAATGACTCAGAAAATAAATGATTCTTTCTGTGGTTTGATAAAACTCTAAATTCCCCTTTTCAGTGCCATTTCCAAGGTTATTCTGTGCCCCAGCCCAAGAGAATACGAAGGAATTTTCTCTCCTTTCTAAGGCACAGAGCCTTTATTGTTACCTTTAAGATCAGCATTACTTTCAATTTAAAATATTTCTTTCCACATCAGTCCAAGTAACTGAGATTAAAGCCCAAATGGCACCAGGTTATCTGTGTGTGCTCTGAGCCCTCTTAGTTACAGGCTAATCCCCAACCTCCACCAGATAAGCACTCTTGGAATGTGCTTTTCTCCCATGGAACTCCCCCAGAACTGATCTGGCCCACATGGAACATTTTCAACATGATGCAAAGACACCTGATGGGAGCTGTCAGGAATGTGCAAACTCCACAAATAAGAAAGGGAAAGGCCACCAGAGCTGCTGTTCCAGGACATCAAAAGCACTTTCTAACAAACTCTGACAATAGAAGTTGGGGCTGCACAAAGACAATGTTTACAACTGTGAAATGGAAATCAGGAGGGCTCATCTCAGAAATCTGAACATTAATTGTCACCACAGCCTCTAACGAGCACTCACAACAAACCCCGATGATGGGCCTGGAAGAAAACATCCAGTAGCCCACATTCAGTCCTGTCTCCCCTAATGATGTCATCAATCAAAGGGATGTGCCAGCACTAGTCAGAATTATAAATTTTTTAAACAGGCTGCCTAAGATGAGCTGCAGCTGGAACTCAGTCCATCACCGCACTCACGGCGCTGCAGACGGTTCAGAAACGCTTGGGAGAGCTGGAGACAAACCTTGTTTTCTCATGGTGTCTTTTCACACAAACTCAAATAACCTCCAAGTCCATTGCTTGGCAAAGGTAAACCTATTTTTGCTTTTTCTCACATGAACACATTGAACCCACACTGGCAAATCCAGCCCTTTCCAGGTGTCCAGCAGCCAACACACAGCTCTGCTGCCTTCTGACAAAGTCGGTTCTGAAAGTGGCTGAAAGCTTTGGTCATATTTTGGTGTTTATCTACCATTTGGGGAGTAATTTCAGTGACTAGACAGGGCTGCAACATTCAAAAGATGAATTTCATATCCAAGGAAACTGTCATGGCAACTTGGTATGAAACAAAAATCACGGAATCACAGAAGGGTTTGGGTTGGAAAGGACCTTAATGACCATCCAGTCCCACCCCCTGCCATGGGCAGGGACACCTTCCACTAGACCAGGTTGCTCCAAGCCCCATCCAACCTGGCTTTGGACACTTTCAGGGATCCTGGGGCAACCTGTGCCAGGGCCTCACCACCCCCACAGCCAACAATTCCTTCCCAATATCCCATCTACCCCTGCCCTCTGGCAGTGGGAAGCCATTCCCCCTTGTCCTGTCCCTCCAGGCCCTTGTCCCGAGTCCCTCTCCAGCTCTCTTTAGGCACTGGAAGGGGCTCTCAGGTCTCCTGGGAGCCTTCTCTTCTCCAGGTGAACCCCCCCAGCTCTCCCAGCCTGGCTCCAGAGCAGAGGGGCTCCAGCCCTCGGAGCATCTCCGTGGCCTCTCTGGACTCGCTCCAGCAGCTCCACATGGTTCCCATGTCGGGACGCCCAGAGCTGCACAGAGCCCTGCAGGAGGAGTCTCTCCAGAGCAGAGCAAATTAATGCAGATCAACTGTTGAACTTGCAAACACATTTGAACTCTCATTTTTCAATGCAGGAGCAGCCAGAGGTGTGGATGAATTTGATTGTCACCCTCTGCACCTCCTGGTGACCCCTGTCCCTCCTCCATCCCCTCTAACATCCCAGATCCTGCCCAGGCAGTCCAGCCCTCCCCTGGGAGCAGCACAGGCTGCTCTGGCTGTCCCCATCAGCCAGGAAAATGATGAGTCACTGAAGGGAGAGATAATTACACAAGAATATCTTCTTAATTAGCATGGTGAGAATGGGAAAGGAATATGAAAGTTTAATGCCTGGTGGTGAAACACTCTGAGTCCACGTGTAAGAGTGAAAATGCCAACAGGAAAACCTGGTAAAAACCTGGAATGGGTGCTGGAGGAAAAAATAAACATAGGAAAATAAAGCTTAGCAAATACAAATGGAACATGAACAGAAGGGGATTCTGTAGTGCTTTAAGTTTTAGTTAAAATCACAGAACTTTGTGAAATGTTGTTGTGTAGCTGATGCTGAGCCCCCAAAGTGGTGCTGAGAGGGTCTTTGAGCAGTTAACCAACACTTATTCCTGTTTTCCTGCATAAACAATGATTCATGCTCCTCTCAGTATTTACCTAGGTAATAAAACCCCTTTTCTTTCTTTCTTTGATACATTATTGTTCTTTTAAGCCAACATTGTCTCACACAGACATCCCTGGTACATTTACCTGCAGATCCCCACCTATAAACACTGTTCAAGTCCCTGCTGGGTATGAAAATCTACTTAATATTAAGAAAAAAATGCACTATCAGTCATTTGCTCACCCTTCAGCATTTTCTTTGTACTTAGTGAGGTATCATCTGCAGCCAGCATGCTCTTCATTACAATGCTAATAAAATTTGCAATTATTTATAGGCAATATTTGTACTCAAGGTGCTACTAACTATTTAGCAATAGCTAAAGATGATTAAATTTTAAACTTAAGCTGGTTCTTAATCCTTAGTTGGATGTGGAGACCACTGTCATCATCTACAGCACTCCAAGCAACACATAATAAAAAGGGATCTAATTCTCTAAAAAATCAATTTTAATTTTAACCATAGGAATAATTGCAAAGCCACACTGATACAGAGAGTCCTGCAAGGGTAACATCAGGGACTTGCCATTGCCCTGGGCATTTATCAGCTATTTATTCACTGAAACACTGTCAGGGTTTATCCTGAAGTCTTTCACGTCCTTCCTTACTATCAAAGCTCAGAAATGAGGGAGCCACACAGAGAGTAGGATAATCAAAGCCTGTCACACCAGAGGAGCACATTTACTGCACTTTGTAAGCAGTTTATTACAATTAATGTCTCTCCTGCCCAAACACAGGGGTGCTGGATTCACTCTTTCTTTTCAAACCAGCTGCACTGAGGCCAGTGGGTCACCTGGGGTCACCTCAAGCCCATGGAGAGCTCCAGGCTGGAGGAGAAGGGGCTGGAAAGCTGCCTGGGGGAAAAGGGGTGCTGGTCACCAGTGGACACGAGCCCAGGTGTGTCCAGGTGGGCACAAGGTCAGTGGTCCCTGGGCTGTGCCAGCCATGGTGTGTCCAGCAGGACCAGGACAGTGATTTTTCCCCCTGTGCTGGGCACTGCTGAGGTCAAATCTCAAATCCTGGGGTCAATTTGGGGCCCCTCCTGACAAGAAGGACATGGAGGGGCTGGAGCATGTCCAGGGAAGGGAACAGAGCTGGGGAAGGGGCTGGAGCAGCAGGAGCAGCTGAGGGAGCTGGGGGGGCTCAGCCTGGAGAAAAGGAGGCTCAGGGGGGACCTTCTCACTCTCTGCAACTCCCTGACAGGAGGGGGGAGCTGGGGGGGGTCGGGCTCTGCTGCCAGGGAACAAGGGACAGGAGGAGAGGGAACGGCCTCCAGCTGTGCCAGGGGAGGCTCAGGTTGGATGTTGGGAAAATTTCTTCCCCAAAAGGGTTGTCCAGCCCTGAAACAGACTCCACAGTGGTGGTGTCCCCATCCCTGGAGGGATTTAAAAGCCATGTGGGTGTGCCACTTGGGATATGGGTTAGTGGTGCCCTTGGCAGTGCCAGGGAATGGTTGGAGTTGATGATCTTAAAGGACTTTTCCAACCTAAACTATTCCATGATTCGAGTATTCCCAAAGCAAAACCATGGGATCCAGTATCTGCAAGCCTGGCTAAGGGAAGCCAGACCCAGCTCCCATATTGGAGGATGGCAATTCAGCCACATTAAAAGAAAATCAAACTAAACACAACACCAAAGCGTCCCTTTTTCCTTTGGAAACGATGCCTGATTATTCAGAAATTAATTTTATATTAAAAAAAAAAGAACATGAAATTCCAAACTCTAAAATTACTTCTAATTTCTGCACCATTGAGCTCTGAAGGAAAAGTTGAAGAGGCCCATGAAAGCTCCAAAAGTACCTATTTCCCTAAATTATCTTTAAAATAAGACACTCCATGTTCAAATGGCTCTTGAACAGGTACAAGAAGGGGAATTTTCATATCAAATAAACACCACAAGTAAAACTAACACTGAGGAATTTCAGAATGAGAAGAGAATTCCCTGAAGGAGAGACAA